ATTTGAAAATATTTTTATATCAGCAGCCAGTACTCTAATAATCTTCACTGTCTTGTCTTCAGATTCTTTATTATTATCAATTTTGAGAAGTGTTGTGCTGCTTAATATTTTTGTGGAAGCCGTGATAATTTATTTATTTATTTTACCTACTGACCCCAAACTTTTAAGCGGTGGTGTATATATTTTTAAATTTAAAGCCATTATAACTTTAGACAGCAGAAAACAAATACTGGACATCCATAATTCAAAATCAGTGTTTGTTAATTTTTTTCTCACAAAGCGAGCTAATCACAGTTGTTGATCACAGGCAGAGAAGTAATGTAACTGAAAAGCTTGCTTGCTTGTTTGTGATTGAATAAATTACAATTGACCTTTTACAGTTTCTCCACTAATTTATATACGTATATAAAGTTATAGTAAGTAACATGGAAGAGGTGTTGTGAACTGGTTGTTAATATGGTATTATGTTTGTTTCATGTGTGTATCATGTAATTTGTCTTCAGGTACCTGCATTAATAATACATCAGTCATGATGTTCAGGAAAGGAAGCTTTGAAATTGCCTCAACTGTCTACCCCGTCGCCATAAAGGTCAGAAATCTCACTTCTCTAATGAATACTCTGGGTAAGGGATGTGAACAAACCTTGAACATAAGTATGAAATATTGGTGCACAATTTGTCTTGTAATGCTCATGCTATGATCATAAATAATACCAAAATGATAGACATTGTAGTCTGAGACCACTAATGAAAACACTGCTTTTTTACGAATGACATTATCAGCATAATGATTTGAATAAAAAAATGACTATGAATGATTGTCCTAATATTTGGTATGCCCTCTTTTGCTTTAACAACAGCAGCTTTCAAATTTTCACCTGAACATGTGGATTTTATTGTTTTTCTCAACATTAACATGTAAAATAATATAAACACGATAAACATAGGTCGACTCGAGTGTATATATGTGTACTGAAAATGGCACGGTCTGCTTTATTTTTCCGTTTGCTAACCAAATAAAACCTTGAGATATAACGTAACTTTGCTGTAGAACATTTGTTGTGTATAATGCCTGATTACAAGCGTGTTCAGAAATAATGACAAAAACAGACAAAGTAATAGTGATCATGTAATAAAAACAGTTACTTACACTTGTGTGTTGCGACATTACTGTCGGATCCAATATAGTCAGC